AACTGGACGTATTATATTACATTTCACTAGTTTTCATTGATTTTTATCGCAAAAATGAGGGTTTTTTATCATTTATCGAGAAAGAGCGACACACTATGGACGTTACTGAGGGCCAAACAGTCGATGATGTTTTGAACCAACTTCAGCGAAAACTAAGAATGAATTTGAATATTGATGCTCAGCAGAAAAAATACTTGACCCTTGAGATCCAAGGTTCAGAACTAAAAAGCGACTGGGTTCTGAACGACCTGGGGATTAGAACCGGGCACCACTTTCAAATGTTACTTGAAGGAGGAGGAGCAGCCTAGTTTGAGGCTTTATTTGTCGTTTTCCTGTGACACGATTCCAATTTTTGATGACGTTGACTTCTATTCAATTCAAGTGGCGGATGTCAGGACTATCATCCAAGAAAATACAGGTATCTCGTATTACTTGGGGTATTTAACATTTTTTAGATGACCACATTTTGTTTGAAAACTCGAAAGGAGAAACGGAAAAAATTTAAAAACACACCCGAAGATAACTTTTTACTTCACTTTTCACCACTCAAAACTAAAAAAAAAACATTGTTATCTTTCTTTTTTGTTATTCATCTTGCAAAAGTCAAATGATACCATTACGAATGTTTCAAGAAAACTTTTAGTTGCACTCCCTACACCACACGCATGAAGAATTTGCCCACAACGCTCCCCATAAAAATTTTGGGGTAAAATGTTTTTTTTTTCAAGTTTTTTTGAAACCTTGTAACCGAAGTCGTCTGGTTCTAACACGGCTCAGGCAGTTTTAATTTATATTCAAAAAATTCTTTACTTATTATTTATTTGAAATTTAAATAAGACATTTTGTAGCAAAACATAAATAAATCCCCTTATCCAGTCAATTTTAGATCATTTCATTTAGTTTTCATCGATTTATTTAAGGCATTCCAGTTTCTGTTTTCAAACTTATTGTGGACAAATCAAAAAGAACACTTTATGATGGGCTGACTCTCTACGACTATGACGTCAGACATGGTGACACGTTGAACTTGGAGACATGGGACGGGTATGTTTCAAGTCATGATTTTAAAAAATGCCAGGACAATTTATGGATGAGGTTAAAACAACTGTTCGCATCTTACAGATTATATATGGAACACATGGATAAGTGTTCAATACATGTTTTGTAGTTAATGTTACCGCGCCCTCAAACAAGGTCCCTTGGGAATAAAAACTTTAAAAATCAATTTTCAACTTTGATTTTACGCTTTTTTAACAAAAATTTTGGGTTTATGGAACCTGATCTAAACTACATTTTATGATTGGATAATTTAGATATTTTACCAATGTAAAGTATTTAATATTAACCAATCATGATCCATCTAACTAACAACCCACTTATTTGTAAGTGCTGAAGTTACTTGTAATTTCAGCACCAGAGAGATTTGAATTTAACTTAGAAATTAGTTGGACTCTCCCGAGCACTTCAGCAGCCGAAATAAACCAGTATACCCTAGATCTATTGAGCCTAGCAGAGACTAGTTAAACAACCTGAGACTAGATAGTATAAGAGTAAGATTAGGATCTGTATTAGACTAAGAAGTTGCACGAATCTATCCGGCCGAAAATAAGATAGCGTGACGAGCAGACGGTGTACCCTATCCGAAATTACTCTATGAGTTAACCAACTCGGTCCTAACTCATCTGGTGCGACCATAAGTCTCGAACAAGACCTTAATAGCTTAGAATTAACCAAAATAGATTAGAAATTAGACAAAAACATTTACAAAATGTTATACGACAATAATTTAATCGAAATGTCTCTACGACTCAATAGATCAGAGCCAATATTCCGAACCATAACAGAACTACCCGGAATTGGAAGAAGACCTCGAACCAGAGACGACATACGACAAAGTAGAAACTTGCCATATAGCTATATGATAGTTAGGCAAAAACCAGAACAAACTTTTATATTTAGAATACTACTGGCAATGAATTTAGATTTTCATTTGCAAACATAAAACCTTGAAGTTAATCTTCAAAATCATTTCAGGCGCTAAACAAAATTATTAATATACAATAACGATTGATAAAAAGATCTAAGATCGTTTTCCTAAAACTCTGCAGTAATATACAAAACATGTTTGAAAAATATTTATTGAAAAATAAAAAATAAAAATTAGTAGCATGACAATAAATGGTTAGTAATCATAAATCATCCTGTTGTTCCAGCTCCATCACCTAAAACATAACAGCAATCATAAACCCACTAATATCATCAAAACACTAAATCTTTCCTTTACACATATTTAAAATTTTATTAAAACTTAAATTCACTTAATTTTAAAACCAGATCATCAAGGCTTATCCTTGGATCTTAAATCATTTTCTACTTAATTAAATTTCAAATTTGATCATCAAGGCTTATCCTTGGATCAAACAGAACAACTTTGTTCTCCCCCACCCACTTAATTAGTGTCTAACGACCTCAAACGTCGATTCACTACCCAACCCTTTCTAAAGACCCAAGACTAATAGAAATTTTTAAACAAAACTAATCATTCAAATTAGGATAAACAGTGAAGAACTTCGGTTATTCATCCTTCACTTGACCCCCCCTCTTACCAGACCCAGGATAAATCTTAGACTTAGTAAGTTTAAAATAGTATCTAACGAACTACTCGCGTTCTAATTATACCTGAACCTTGTGGATCGATTTACTATTCTCCAACCCTTGAACACAATCACTACCCCTAAGTAAGATTAAGTAAGTTAACACCTTAACTTATACTAGCCACGAGAAAGTAAAAAATCATTCTTCGGAATCGATATACTTTTCTCTCCAACCCTGAACAAATAGACCCAGGTTAAGCTAACCAAAAAATCGTAAGAACTAACAGTTTAGGAAAATAGAAATCATTTAACAACCTTTTGCATCCGTCATCCTAAACCTTATGTCATTTAAAAACCTAGGAAATAAACAAACAATCGTTTTACACAATTGTGAAATAGATAACAAAAAATACGACCTTGTAATCACACCTCATACACAAACAGTTGGATACATTCGAACAAAACGACAAACACTAAAAAGAAAAATAATAACGAAACAAAGACAAATAACACGAAAAAGATTTTCAAAAAATCGAAACGCATTTTCAGAATCAGAAACCAACAGTTTAGACGAACTTTACAAACTAAAAGAATCAATAGATAAAAATTACCCACTTCACGATCAATTATATTTTTCTGACTCAGAAACAACTTCAAATTCATCAAAAAGAGGAAAAAGAAGAATAAAAAAGCAGTATAAACACAAACCAGTACATTTATACAATTGGAATCAACCAATTCGACACATTAATAATTACATATTAACAGTCATCGAACGAAAAAATGAGCTCAACGCACACCCCAGGTGAAGAAAGTCCAGATGATGATGAAATCTTTCCTTTTATAGTAGATGCAACCACTGATAGAGGACAGCATATATTTTGCAAAAATTTACTATTAAATTTATTTGAACCCGGAATCAGTCCATGTAAAACAGAGTTCCCAGATGTAAAAATCAAAAGACAAATCATAGACCACTACTTAAAAGATATATGCAACATAACACAACAGTATGGAATCTACTCCATAGAATTCACCTCACCAAACCATAATAATAGAAAATATACAATTCAAACAGACGATCTTGATTTAGAATTTTCAAAAGTTTTTTCAGAATATATAAAAAGCATCCAATATCATAACTCACAAAGAGCAAACTCCATATTCACCAATGAAGTTTTCGCAATAATATATAGTTATATTTCGATATTAGAAAACGAAATCCCAATAACAAATGTCTCACCGACAGAAACATCTAAACATTTAAGAGTACGACATGAAATCACACTACTCTCTAGTTATTTAAACATCATTAAAGAAAATTTCACGAAAGACGACGTTTCACAACATACAAAACACGATCTACAAAAAATTTTGGCATGGTTCATAATAGATTATTTCACACACAATATTGATTTAATTGCACAAGCAAGAAAAAATTTTAGACCCCAAAACTCGAACGATGATACCGCTATCACAGAACAATCAGATTATGTTTGGGACCCCGAATGGTCTCATCCCGCATTTATAAGCTTCCCACAAACAATCTCAAGTCAAGCAATAAGTACGATATCTTACATAAGAGATTATGTAAAAGTAATACCATTAACCATTGATGCGACACCATTAAACTATAATACATTTTTACCCGATACACAAAATAATAGTTTAAACTCTACAGTTATACACAATGAAAACCTCAATGGAACTAGGAATCTTACTCAACAAGATATCCAGACACCATCACACTTCATAAATGAAGAAATTGTACACACAACAACTACACAACAAAGTATTTCACCAATACGCCCAAATTTAACAACACCAAGAAATACAAATCCTTCACAAACACAGGTAACCTTACAATCAACCGTTAAACCTTCGGTTGCCCCTAAATATTCACATATGGATTACCAAACATACAGACCCATGACAATACCATCAAAAACACACAAAACATTCACTAGAAACAACTTTGCAGACCATAATTATAATTATACACATCCCTCAAAAACATATAACCAACCACAAAGAAATTTTAACCAATATACAAGATCTCGAAATTGGGATAACCCAATGACCCAACCTAATTCAATAAATTTCCAAACAAATCCTCCACAGGATCACAGTGAAAATTACCCATTTTTTCAGCAAAATAAAAATAAAAAACAAACATCTTATCAAATGGATTATTTATCCTCAGATGATGATTTCTTACAACCAGATATATTTGCAACAAATACTCAAGAATATCGTAGACAAGGAATACAGAAAACACGTACAAATCATAGAAATTTTTCTCCACAACCAATAGATGCACAACATCAACAACCAATTCAACAACAAAATCTAATTAATACACAATCTTTTCAACCAATTCAACAACAAAATCCAATGACTGCACACTCGTATCAAGCATCACAAATGCAAAATGAAATACCACTCCCATATTATCTCCAACAACATGAAATAACAAGAAACCAACTTTCAAATTTTTCTCAAATGCCAAATGCAGCAGAATCATTACAAATGACAATGAATCCATACCTTATGGGTGGATCATCAATAACATCAAACAAACCTTTAATGGTTTTCACAGGAACAGACCCTGAATATTCTGTAGAAGATTATTTAAATGCAGTAACAGCAAACCTGATTTTAAATATTGGACCTGAACCAATTAATACGCCACTACATCAAAATTGGATACATCGACGCACAGCGTTAATACAAACAACCTTAGATGGCGCAGCCCAAAAATGGTTTTCAGTACTACCTCTAGAAATAAAATCAAACTGGAAAAGGTTTACACAAGAATTTTCAAAAATGTTTGACTCCGAAAGAAACAAACAACAACAAAGAGTTTTATGTAATGAAATTCGCAGATTACCAAACGAAACCATCAAGCAATTAGCAGTACGAATCGAAACACTAGTTCGAAAAGCATATTCATTAAATACACATGACTATAAAAACACAAAGATGACAGAAATCTTAATGATGACCTTAACACCACAATTAAGGAAAATAGCAATAAAAAAGAGAGCATCCCATCCTTCTTCAATTCGAGAACCCGATTTAGATTTTCGAAAACTAGTAGACAAACTAGAACAAGCAGAAATCACGATGAAACTAGAAGAAACGGAAAATCTGAAATTACAATACGTTAATAGAATTGAAACGACTCCCACTAATATTAATAATATACAGGAATCAGAGACAGACCTCGTTGAAAAAATCACTGAAATACTCAATATTTATGAAAAGAACCCAAACTTTAAAGGCAAACCATCTTTCAAAAAATGGTGTAATTATTGCCGACGATACGGACATAGTATTTCCGAATGTAGACAAAAACAGCAAGACAATCAAAATAAACCTCAAAAATATAAAGAACCAAATAAATCATTCTATCAATACATGAAAAAAGATCAAAATCTACCGAACAAAACAGTCCACAGCAACAACAGTTCAGGAAAACCACTCCCGAACAATACAAATTATACAAGAAATCAATCACCATATAACTCAAGTTATAGAGGAAGATCGCCAGAACGAAGAAATACACAAAATTCATCACAAAATCACTACAATAGACCAAATAGTAGAAGTAACTACTCCAGATCAAATTCAAATACACAACGATTTGTTTCTAGATCTAATTCCCAATCAAGAAATAACTACTATCCAAACAACCAATCACGAAATTCATCATACAATAGGAATAGAAACTACTCCTATAATCGAAATAGAAGTTATTCAAACAACCGAAACCAGAATTACCCGAACAATCAATCAAGGAATAACTCATATAATAGATCGAACTATAACAGACCAAACAACAATTATCAAAACAGATCGCGAAATAATTCACAAAATCGACACTCAAGTTATAATAATCGTTATAGAAATTATTCCCAATCACCACACCGGAATAATAATAACTATAATAATTCTAATAATCGCCACAGAAGTAGTACACCTAAACATCAAAGACAAATCAATCAAGTACAATCTAACCCAGAAACAACATCAGACCCTCCAGGTATTGATGACACAGTAACTGATACGTTACAACTCAATCAAATAAACTGTACATCATCAGATTCAGAAAGTGATACTGAAAACACTCTTTCTATCAATATGATAAAAGTCGAAAATGACTATGAATCTGTCATATATGAACAACCCTTTTCATCACACATATATGAAAATCAATCAGAATTTCTTCAAAATTATTACACTACACCCATAAATTCCACACCAACGACACAAGAAACAAATGAGATTAACACTACAAATCAAACCAATAAAAATACCAAAACAAAATGCTTGAATACAAACCACATTTATCAAAATATACAAAAAGAACAACCCAAAGAAAAAATTTGGACAATACCATTTCTCTTAGAAAGCCCAAGAAATAAAGAATTTCAACCACCAGACCTTGAAATAGATTTTTTAATTGATTCAGGAGCAGAATCAAACATAATAAACATCCCCACATGGAATGAAATAAAAACCTTACACCCAAAGCTAACACCTCTTGAAACCTCCAGCAAACTAGCAACAGCACAAGGATCAACATTGATAAACTACGGAAAAATCCAATTATTTCTCCTCCCCACCAGAACAATGGAACAAAGCAAAATTTTAAATAAGCCATTTAAACAAATATTCCATATCACTGACATTAAATATAATATCATTGGAATACCATTTATTTCGAAGTATATACCAACAATTAACATACTAAATAGTAAAATATTAATCAAAGATAAATATACAAAAACAAAAGAAACATCCTTAACATTTTTTCAAAGATTAAATAAACAACCACCATTCTTTTCAAAATTCTACCCGATATTTAACCAACAAAGAAAACACCTAAAACCACTATCAGGAAATATCTATAATTTTTCAATCAAACAAGTTCACCAATATGATAAAGAACAAAACAAACAAAAATTTTATATGTCAGAATTTGAATTCAAACCTATTCACAAATTTTTCAAAATCACAATCTCATCCATAAAATATTTGAAAAATTCGAATTCCGATATCATTTCCTTACATGTCTATAACAACACACCTCTATTGTTAATAAGAGCTACTCAAGTGTGAGTAACTCTTCAAAATAACCGAACTAAAACAAAAAGCTTTTGTGAAAACAACTAACTAAAATCATAATTAAAAAATATTAAACTAATAAATGTTTTATAAAATGTAAATTACATTATGCAATACATAGATCAGAATACAACACCAAGGACGAACATCTAAAGACAAAACGACCCCACTACACTCGAGAGAGAATGACCAACCACAATCGATATGCCACTCACAATCACAACTCAAAGGATTTAGAGTACGACTTGACTTCGCAGAAAAGGACTTCATTGAACTAGACCAATGACCACCTCGATGTTCAAGTATACGTACAGATCCGAGTAACCAGGCATCCCCTCCACGCACAATCTCCACGCCATTCCCAAACTAGATCAAACACAAAAGAAGTTCTCCACGCAGAACAGAAAAACCTGACATAGCCAACCATTCTGAAATCAGATTTGAGTTTGTTGCGAAGACTTAGTCGTTGTCACTAGAAGACACAACGTCTTATGTCTCTAACTCCAGCTTCCTGGAACTTCTTTAACAAAAAGGAAACAGAAGAAGTAAGATGTTCGCCAAACACCAACGTCCATCATCCATCCTTCGAATTGCAGAAGAACTATTCTAAAAAACTCTGTAAAACCCGGATGGGTGGAACCTGATCTAAACTACATTTTATGATTGGATAATTTAGATATTTTACCAATGTAAAGTATTTAATATTAACCAATCATGATCCATCTAACTAACAACCCACTTATTTGTAAGTGCTGAAGTTACTTGTAATTTCAGCACCAGAGAGATTTGAATTTAACTTAGAAATTAGTTGGACTCTCCCGAGCACTTCAGCAGCCGAAATAAACCAGTATACCCTAGATCTATTGAGCCTAGCAGAGACTAGTTAAACAACCTGAGACTAGATAGTATAAGAGTAAGATTAGGATCTGTATTAGACTAAGAAGTTGCACGAATCTATCCGGCCGAAAATAAGATAGCGTGACGAGCAGACGGTGTACCCTATCCGAAATTACTCTATGAGTTAACCAACTCGGTCCTAACTCATTTAGATGGGGACCTTTGTTGCATGCAGCATTGATGGATCTTCCACACAAAGTGCACAGATGTCTCGTCTCCGAGGAAGACCCAATGATTGCCCGATTCCAGGCGAGGGCTGCACTAGCCATTGCAGCCCACTTTGGACTGCTGGATCTTGCATCCAAATTGGCAAGTTATCTTCGAGTTTTGTGAAATCGCCAAAATGCTCAACACGCAATCTGTTTAACTTTATTTTTACTCTTGAGTAATAATAAGTAACATTGAGTAGCATTAAGACTATGATTGAGATCATTTAACCATGAGGAAAAGGGGGTCTTAACTTAACCAATTGAAACAGGTGATCGGAATGGGGGTCCGTCCAGACATCCCGATCGGAACCCACCCGGCTACCCATTGGTGTTCCTCGAAACACAACTCCCACATCGAGACCTTGAAGTCCCCCATACACGTTGCCGCCGAAAGAGACCAACTAGCCTTTCTCAAACTTATCATCGGCCACAATGTAACTTATTGTGTAGCACGTGACGGGAAGGATTTAACGGCGTTAAGTGTCGCGCTGAGGAAAAACAATCGGAAAAGTGCTTCATTGCTGATTACGAAGGCGTGGAGTAAACAACCACCGGCCAGTGAGACGACGTTCCCTTTGCCGATTTACACCAAGCTGAAAAAATGGTGTGAACTAGCAAAGGATGAGATATACTCTATGTATTACGGAGGTAAGAAACCTTTTTGGTGATTTTGTTCAATTCAGCTCTGAACAATCATTGTAAATTTCAGAAGAAAACGGAAAGGGAAACTCGCCACATTTTTCCAATAGGGCTTGGAAAATTTTTCATGATTCCCACAAGGTTTTAGATATGAACTTGTCTGAAGAAAAAACAACAAAAAAAACTCTGAAGGCAACCCATTTTTGAAGTGTTACAGTTCAATAACAACAAAAGCGTTTCAGTTAACACCAGACGTTATTTTGAGTTGAGTTTTCGTGCAGATCTAAAAATGCGCGTCCAGACAATTCGGCCACAGACAATTCAGCCGATTTGAAATTCAGACAATTCAGCCAAAATTATGCAGACAATTCAGCCAAAGACAATTCAGCAATTGCAATTTTTTCTTTAGATCCGAATCTGGCGAAGAAGTCTTCAATCAAAATTCCGAAATGGTAAGGAGATAATTATGAGACTATTCAGAGTTTGATATTGGATTTTTGAGAGAAATTCAGTCTGTTAAAATGGGTTTGCTTATTTCGCCAACATATTTTTCACCAGTTGATCTACTTTGAATTTCCAATTTCTCTTGAAACACTAAGATTCATTTTTCTAAACGTTTTCACCTCTTTCTACAGTCACGGGACGTTGAAGTTGCCTTTTTTTGATTTCAAGAAGCAAATGAACGGATTTTTTTCATGATCTTTTTTGTGTTCTCTGCAACTATCAAAATTATAGAATTGATAATTTAACGCAAGCTAATTTAAATTATTTGTAAGCATCATGCCTGATCAAATATTGAGAATTGAAAGATATACTTGGTCCGGCGCCAAAAAAGGCCGTATCTGTTTTGGGCGTTTATACTAGAACTTTGGACAAAAATTTTGAGACACCATAACTGCTTATGAGAACCCTTTGCATGAATCGAAGATGTCACTTTTCCAAAAATCTGCTAGATTAGTTTTTTTTGGCTTATTTCGACCAACAACGGAAAACTTCTTGTAAAAATTGAATCATGGATGCTTTTTCGATCGTCTGTCATTTTTTCGACGCAGAGAGACTAAGTGAACATCATAAACTTTACTACGAACCAATTTCAGCCAATCAATTCAATCTCAATGTGTTGTTTTCGAGGATGTTTCCAGAGCAAGAGCACTTCTGAAACTTGTTTTGACTTACTGGCTATTTTACGCCATCAAATTACGAGTTCTCAGTATTTCAGCTACTAAGATTCTTCCAAAAATGTTATTTAGCATGTGTCGAAATTTCAATCCTATATCTTTAATAGTTGTCAAAAAAGCGAATACGTCAAAACGTGAAGAAAAAGTCGTTCATTTTCGCGTTGAAAGCAAAAAGTTGCAACTTCTATGTCCGGTGACTGTAAATACGCACTGTGGCTAATCTTTGTTGATTCTGGCTTAGTAAGCTCAGAAGTGTTTATAGAGGGGAACATAAATTCTGGGGCGCATGATCCTTTGTTCTAAACTAAAAAGGGAGACAATTTTTTTATCCACATGAGGTTCAGATCTCGAAGGGAGGCCATCATCCAACTCACAAAAGTCACTGTTTCAACTCTAATGGCTTTTCAATCGACATTTTTGGTTTTAAGGTACCAAAAATCCAAATCCAACATTAACCTAGTGGGCCAACCACTTCTTCTGGAAGGATTCTCAGAAGACATAATGCAATCGAAGCTGACCAAATCACATGCGATCAAAAGCTACGACATTCACTACAGAGCCTCGACAGCTCAGCCGAGAGCACGACTTCCGACAATCCGAATGGAAACACCTCCCTTGGTTCGCCGAGAACGAATCAAATACGAAGCAAGGAAGTCGGGAATTCCGGATGACGACATCCCGAATATTCTAGAAGCCGCGCTAAGAAGCGCAATGAAGCCCCAGTCGGAGCCGAAATCAAGTTTGCTGAACCGAAGGAAAAGTCGGTTTTTTGATTCGGGCTTTAATTCGTTCCGAAAAGAAAATACGAATATCACATTCGTTACCAAAAGCAAACTGAATTTGAATTCGGACGATGAGTCGACGAAACGAAATCGTCCCATGAGTGTCATGTCACGGCTTTCAACTCGAAATAGTGACCGGCAAATTTTGCTACCGCCTAAAATAGATAAAAACAGCGCATTAAGGCCACCAATTTTTGATGCTTATGGTGGGACTACACATGACAATTTACACCAGACAATTTCAGCCGTTGAAAGAAAACTGGGACAGAGTTTGAGAGATAAAGCGATTGAGAGTTTGAATGTGGCTTCGACGTTCAAAAAGAAAGCATGGCTTCATCAGATAAACTTAGCGAATAGTTTGTCGAGAAACGCAATTCAAAGACCGATTACGTTCCAGAAACTGTAGACTAAATTCATGTTTGTTTTTGAGTGTGCAATAATGACGTGCTTTTTAAGATGCTTCTATTTTCCTGTATATAATGCTAATTTTCAGTGCAGCTTAAAATTTAATTTAACGCTTATTTCAACACTTGAGATTCAAAAACTGCTAAAGAATATTTTAAGGGGGAATGCGTGCCAAGCGGACGCTATTAGTTATGGTCAAAGCCTTCCAAAATTGCTCCAAAACTACCTTTGGCCTGCTTTCTCAAAAAGTTGTCTTCGACGCAGAAAAATTCGAAATATTCATTAGAGATTTTCGCGCCAATTTTTGACATTTGTTTTTATTTTAGAAACCCTGAAAAGTCCGTTTGTATTATCTACCCACATTCCAGACTGTGTTATTTTGTTGAACGAAGCTCTTTTTTGCGACTCAAGGTCGTTTTTTGCGTCTAGAACTTTGACGTGATACCACTATTGCAACCGTAATCGGTCAGGCTGTGGTAGACCTGATGCTAGAGGTCAAGTGAGAGCTCGTCCTCACACACTATCATTGCCTTGGCAGAGGATCCAATACAGGATCTGAGCTTTTTGAAGTGAACGACTTACCACTATGCTAAGTGCCTATTCGCTCGACGCGATATGAAGTTTCCTCGAGGTGCCTCATTACGAGGCCAAACTGTGTATTTTGTCAAATGTAAGCGGATTCCGCAACAAACTTATAATACATAATCGTCGCGGAATCCGCAGCATTGCTGGTTTTTTTAGATTTTTTTGCTGTTTTCGATTCCTCAAAAAAATAGCTAAAACATTGTAGCGCTCAAAATTACTCCAAAAACAGGTAACTTTGAGGAATCCCCATTAAAAATTGTGGAATCCGCAACAAAGTTTGTGTAATTCATTACAAAATTTGCAAAACTGGAACAGTTCGCGGAATCCACAAACAATTACAAGTTTGTGTGTTTAGTAAATTAATGTTGTCGTGGAATCCGCGGCTGTAAGTGGAATCCGCAAACTGAGAGCGGAATCCTCAAATTGTAAGCGTATTCCGCATGAATTTGCGGAATCCACTTACATTTGCGGAATCCGCTTAAGTTTGCGGAATCGGGAACAACTAGTTAGGTTCGGTCATTGCGGAATTTACAACAAAATTAATATGCCAACAAAAATTACGTTACAAAAATTTGTGCGCGGAATCTACGGAAATTTTGTTAGTGAAATCCAATTACATTTTCGACCATTTTTAAAATTTGTCTTCGGATACTGATGACCTGTAGATACCAAATTGTGCGCATATCCAGTGCACAGAGGGGGAGTGCACAGTTTGGCCTGCGTAATGCTATTTATCATGAAAAAAAGGCCGAGCAAATTTTTGATTAAGAACAGTAGTTGATGCCCATTGAAAGTCGTCATTTGTTTTTCGACTCCTCAGCATTTGATTTTAGTGATAAATAAAAAAAAGACTGTTGTATCCAAAACGTCAACATTCTGACTGACCCCTAAACTGCCTGAATATTTTTACTAACAAATGTTGATAAAATTTTTCGAAATAGAAGAAATCTAATATTTTTTTTTGAAATTTTTTCCCTCAAAATCAAAGTAACTTTCAAAATGATGTCTTCGCATTCACTAACACATTGATTGAATTAATGAGCGTGCCTTAAATAAAACAGCAATGTTTTGAGCAGAATTTATAAAACGAAAAATATCGCGTATTAAAAATCTAGAAAAGTGAAGAAAAAATGTTTTCCAAAATGTGGAAAAAAATGAAGAAAAAAAAACTTTTGTTTTCAAAATTAAGATGAGAAGCAGAAAAAAATCAGTTTTTAACTTTGTTTGCTTATCCAAAGACTTGTCAATTACATAGTAAGATAGTAAGCTACTTTTAAACTGTTAATTATAACAAATATTTTTCCACGGCTGTATACACTTAAACCGTAGCAAAGCTGATTTAACTCGATGCTTATGTGCTTTATGATAAAGAAGTTTTTTGCGTTTTGATTAACTCATGTTTGCAATAGATCATTTTGATTTTACAAAAACTGGTTACAGCTGAACATCTTTTTAAAAATTTTTTGAACTAAAATTTTTTTGAAATTAGTTTTATGTTTCAAAAATCGAAAAAAAATAACTAAGTTAGTCCTTGAAATCTGTCAGACGAGGTGTGCAGTGGTGACATTCAGAGAATACACTAGCCAAACTTTCGAAGCAACAATTAGGCATAACTAGGCTGTTGTAAGTCTGCTCGCTCGCTTTATCTGGTCAAAATTGAAACAAAAATCAATTTGAAAGTCGAATCACGATTGAAAGGGCTCCAGTTTGATATATCACTCAAAACATTCCGATCATTATTTGTGGTATCTGATTTTGAGTGGAAAAAAAAGAAGAAAAAATTTAAACACACCAAATTTCCCCCACATTTCGCAAATGGTCGGAACATTAATTTAACTTCACTTGTTCCACGAATATCTTCATATTTCAAGGTTTTAAGACAGTATCCTTGAGGTAAACAGCAATAGACGATTTGGGATGCTGAGGGATCCTATTCTACAAACTCATGCCCTCTGTTCATGGTCAATCGGCTCTATAACTCTCTGCCATCAATTAGTAGAATTGATACAAATGAAACAAAAAAACTGAAAAAATTAAAAGATGCCACGGGCGGAACTTAGAAGTTGCAACTCTTAAGTTCAAGCAATGAAATGAACATTTTTTTCATGTTTTCCAGGTTTCCTTGAAATTTTGTCATGAGATGGATAAAATTTGTTTATAATAAATCTTGATAAAAACTGTAAGTAGTTTTTTTCAAAGCGTCGTGTGGCCATGAAATGAGAAGGCGCCATAGAGGTGTTCTCAGAGCAAAAAACCGCAAACAGCAGTTGCAGTGTGAAGTTTTGGCTTGAAAACTACAGGGGTCCTTCAAATAAGTTTTCCTTTACAAAAAAGAACTAAAAACTGTGTTAATTTGTTACAAAGATCTTAATTGGAAATTCAGCAATTTATTTAATAAAACGCTAAAACCTGAAACTTTGATCTAATTTTTATTTCGCTGCTGAGTTACGTTTAATCTTTTTATAAGTAGAAAAAACCTGTTTTCGGGCTTGCGTAGATCCTAAGCTTTCAAATGAAAATTTTTAAAAACTAAATTTTTATTGCTTCTGCTGTTTACATAGATTTTTGCACTAAGCACACCTCTCTGACGGAAAAAAAGCCTATATCGTTCTATTAACTCCCAAGCTTAAAATTATATCGAGGCCAACTTTTTTGTCTACTCAATGGAATAATAGACGCAAAACTTATCCTTTGTATTAAACACAGCACGCCGGCCGGGAGAAAGAATGGGACATTCATTTTGATCACCATTGAAAAATTTTGTTTGAATTTCATCAAAATGAATTGATCTAGCTTTTTGAATATTTCATGAGCACTTTCATCAAAAATTTAACAGCTTTTTGCAAAAATTTGAAGGAGTTCTTTGATATATAATGAAATCTTTTTGAGGTAATTCAATTACAAATTTTCTAATAGATAAAACATTGTTTCTGCTATTTATATTGATTTGTTTGTTTGACTTCTCTTTGTCACTCCGGGAAACTATTTTGTTTTCGAATTAACCAGTACGAGTCGAAGTTAAACTTAATAGACATATGGCCTTTTCAAATCAATTATTTATGAGTTTTAGCTTTATAGCTCCAAGACACTCACTATCACACGTGAACATTTTGCGAATTCCATATAAAAATGTTTGTGAATCTAACATGAAATAAAAATTTTTTTTTGATTGCCCACAAAATTGATGTGAATATCAACGTGCCAACGTGCCACGAGACATTCGCCCCCAAAACTAATCTGCCTAAATTATTACGAAGAATTTTATTTTAAGAATGAACTAATAATCAAGCAAAAGGTATTGGGACAGTTTGTTATGCTGTTTGACAGTTTGTAATCATTAGCGAAATTAGGCAGCGCGGGGTTGGGAAGCGAAGCATACTCCTCCATCCGAGGGATTCGATACCCCATGCTCACCCAAATGGTCGCCTTTGGTACTATTTTTAGACACGTCAGTTTTGGTAGACCATCATAAAATTTTTCTAAAAGCGCCAATAGATAATATTTTTGAGGTGAAGCGCGCGTAAGAAAAATGCAAACAAGTTCCCTTATGAGTAGCTTTTAGCTTGTCTGTTAATTTTTAGCAATTTTCAAACCCAGGCATACGGGTATCTAGGACTGCTCAAGATGCCAGAATTTAAAAATATCTGATTTTACTTTGAAAAAAGTTAGCTTTGTCCCCCCTTGTTGCTTCGACCATTGAAAATGGGGAAGAAATTTGTATTTGGGAGTGTTTTAGTTTATTTGTTTTCCCTACAAAATCAGGTACCACAAATAATCATCGGACTGGGTTGAGTGATTTATCATAATGAAGCCTTTTCAATCGTGATTCTAACCACATTTAAAAAAGAATTAGCGAAACTTCGGGGTCGTCTCAAAGTCCGTCTGGGTTGTAGAAATTGAAAAACTCGCACACACAAACAATTCATGAACACTGGATATAATTTTTTGAATCATCAGTTTCCCGACCGAATTACGGTAAATATATTTTTTCAATTTGTTTTTGTATTTATAATATTTGATTCAGACTAATTTTAATTGAGTAAATGCATTTTAAATTAACTTAATGAATAATATGTTTAAGGAAACAATTTCAGTAGTTGAATCGATGCTTACAACAACTTACATAAACGTTTCTATATAAAAGCCACAATAATTTTTGGATAGGTTGTTTGAATTGTTACTAATGAGATTGTACTAATTCAAGTTTTCTTGACTCAAAATTGCTAAATGTTTTCCGACCGAAACCTGCTCCCATGTTTTGAATCTGTCGCTGCATTTTGAGTTTTTTTGCTGCAAAACTCATAGTTTCGGTTTTATTGTTTTTACAGTGGGATTTTTTGTAATCATTCAGTTGCTGACTTGAGAAACTAAAAAAGATCAAATTTTTATCCACACATCATCATCTACAGAGAGAAAGGTTTTCGAAATTTTAAACCGAGA